TTCTTTTATCCTCCCACGAGAATTTCGCACCATTTAATCGACCCCGTGAAGATGGAGGGCTCGGTTGACCCAGGCGGGTATTCATCCGGGATTCGAACTTGCGACCGTGTCTGTGTGATAATGCACAACTTGGCACTACACCATCTCCGTCTTGAGACTTTTCTGTCTACTTCGCGTAGGCGCTTTATTTTTTCAAAAGGAATTTCATGACATTCCATAACCGTCTGATGAATACTGTATGTATCATGTATGAAATTGATGAATATGTATGCTTTGCTTTCACTGCCGATAATAAATAAATAATAATAGCTGCTATATATTCGCCCAATGCGCCCTTCCATTTTATTATCGCCATTTCAACTCCTACGATTTTATGCATTTCTTATTGATTGATTTATTGTTTGATTTTTGGTATACCAGCAACAAAACTTTTTCCTTGAAATGGGGCTCTTCTTTAAGCTCGTGGAATACCCGTCTGCCTAGTTTGAATGGGAATATCAGTAAAGAGACCAACGATCACGACAATTAATTGAGCTTGCCTTGTTGGGGCGTAGGAGAAGGATTGTGTCTGGCTCATACCGCTCATCAGAGGAAAGGACTACTCCTTACCTATCCGAAAAGACATTTATTTACTTATTTGTTTATTTCTTTCGATTCCGACATCGTTCCACTTCTCTGTCATTGATTTCCCTTTCTATTCACATTCATTGAATATCCTTCTACTTCTGCCCGACCGGAGTGATCAGCACAGAGATCAGCTATCAGTTGAGCTAATTAAGCCTACCTTGGTATGTAGGGAAAGGCTGCGTCTTTCTTTACCGCAGACCTCGAAAAAAAAAAGAATTACCCTTTACCCATTCGAAACGACATCGTTCAGTTTGCTGGTCATTCTTTTTATTCCAAGTGTCAGTTGCTTTTATGTGACGGCAAATTTTTATGAGCGCCAACTGGTCGCTTTAAGAGTTGCACTTTGACGTTGCCGTGCCAGCACCTATTTTTGCAGACAAATCTGCAGAAAAGTACTTAGGTCAAAGAAGAGTTGTTATGTTGCGTTTCGTGAAAATGTTTACCAACGGCTGGAAAATTCCAGCAAAGCAAAACTCCTTTCGGATCGCGTACTGCGGCTATATAACAGCAGTTATCAAATATCAATATCAAATATATCAAATATCAAACAGCAGAGGATCGATCGTTCCCTGTGAATGTATCAACATGGGAACAGAGCTATGTGATCGATAACGATAATGTGTGATAAATTGTAGTCGATGAAACAGCCCAAGAAAGGAAAGATCGCGAGTTTTTGAACTTCATATCTTGATCTTCCTTCCACAAATAGCTTACCAATCAGGCCAAACTCGAAGAAGGGGGTCTCTTCATGAGAATTCTCGACATATTCTACAAAAACTTAAGCCTCTGAGGGCACAGCAAACGACAGTTATCAGTACCAACTAGGACGAGTTAGTACCAGCCTCAATGTTAGTATTGCTTTTCGCCAGCCCGTCAGCTTGCTTCTTCATTGGTAGGGCCTTTAGCCCCTACTGTTT